TTGTTAAAAAGAATTTTGTTTTGCATTTATGACTTTCTCAGCCATTATTGTGACCTGCTTAATCTAGGACTCTTATCTAAACTTGATAAGTATTTCAAAACTTGGAATTATTTCTCAAGATTTACAAACTAAAAAAAAAATCAAGTCTGATATTAAAATAACACTGCCAGAATTTTGGGGGGTATTACAAAGGTGGGAGCTATTGAGATAGATGCTGTACAGTGCATTTCTATGGCAGAATGCTGCATAAATTGCCTTCTCTGTTGGTGAGTGGGCTGGCTTTCCAAATGTTCAGGAAAACAGAAAAGTTGAGTTGGTTGATTGCAAGGCAGCACAACTTGTCCCAGAGCTGCTCCCGAGCTCATGGGAGTTAGATGTTTGTACCCAAATTCAGAAGTATCCTTGATGAGCTACTCAGTGGGAAGTGAAACTTAAAATATCATTGCCCAGTTGGTTGCTTGTTCTGCACAACATTCTTGAGCAATGTTCTTTGTGCTTTTGACATCTCTGTGCCAAGGAAATGATTGGCACTGGGTCTGGGTGTCCAGCTCTGTCTGCATCGAGCTTCACTTGTCAGTTGTATGGCCAACATTATAATATAGAAACCACATGAGTACTGCATTAAAACTATGAAATAATTAGTAAATATTGTCTTTAAGATACCTGAGATATTTTAAAGGGAGATTCTTTATAGTTGTTTAAGTTTTTAAAAGCATTATTATATTTTAAAATATGACAATTTCTGTTTTAAAATCTTGATTTTTTTTGTTTCCTTGTGTAGCTATGTAGGAAACCTCTCCAGAGATGTGACTGAGGTTCTCATACTTCAGTTATTCAGCCAGATTGGACCATGCAAAAGCTGTAAAATGATAACAGAGGTAAGGCCTTCCACATCTGGGGGGTAGCATATGTGATGTAGCTTTATCCTAAGATATGTCTAAAACAAATGAAGTTGAGGGCTTCTTTTGACTTTACTGGCAATGGGTTTCTTTGGGTTGATTGTATTTGGCTTTGGGGGATAACTCTTTGGAGGGGAGACCTGGTGTGTGCAATCCTGTGCTTTTGCCTGTAGCCCTGACATAGCTTTATCTGCTGGTGATGAGTTTCCACTTGATTTAAAAGAATTGTTACCCCCTCTTTGCAGAATCACATTGTTCTGTTGATCAGAAACCTTAATATTTCAAGTGTAATTCATGGCTATTTGGTACATTTTTCACTTTATTTGAACATGAGCCTCAGTAATTCTTGTTCCTCTTGAATAAATGGTTCTTTTCTATAGATGAAAAGTAAGAAATCCTTCAAAATAAGTTTGATTCTTCCTCAGCTTTTTCTGCATTAGTTCAAATAGTCTGCACCAGTATAAATAGTTCTTGTCTGCACCTGTCTGTTCTTAAATTAATTTTTCCTTGAAACAAAGTGACAAAATTTCCATAGTATTCCAGATAAAGTATTTTGTACAGAGTGTTGGTAAGTATCAATTCTTTCTTATCTCCATTGTAAATACTCTGGTACCTTTACAGTTGGCAGCCACTTCTGTGAGCTTTTTGATACATCCTACAAACCTTCTCTTTCCCTGGTATTTTTCCTTCCTTCTACATTTGTAACTGGTAAGCTTTGAGCAGGCAGGGACTAATCTGAGCTTCTGCCAGGTTTAAGCTTTGGTTCTTCATCTCTGGTTTCTGTATACTATTCATACTCTTTACTACATCTTATGCTTCTTACTAACTTGTAATTACAGATTTTTTAAGGACAGTTACATTAGTTTTTTGTCAAGATTGGTAATGAAGGTATTAAAAGGCAAGTCTTGTGACCTGCCTTCTTTAGGAGTGTTACCAGAAACTCCCCTGTGGGCTTCTTTTCCTTTCAGTGTGTCACACAGCTTGTTTGTATGAATTTGCTGCTTGTTTAATCACTGTCATCTTTGTCTGGACTACTAATTTCCCATGTGACACTTTTCTCGGCTGGATTTGCTTTAAGTTTATTGGAGAAAAGTAACAGAAGGCTGATAGATCACAGTTGTTAGTTCTTCTCTGAATCTCTGACATGATTGTCATGTGCTCTACAGACATAAGGTGTTGCTGCTCCCACCTTTGGCTGGATGAGAGCTGTTAGCAGCAGTTTGGTTTCTTGAGGAATTAGATGAGAAATTCCAACATTTTTACCTTGGTTAAGACTTTGTGGTTTTAAGATCTTTCCGTAAGTGAGACATCTTCATGAAACAAGTAGATAAACAACAACTGCTGTATTCAGTCACACAGAGGTGACTGCACTGGGCTGACCTCAGCACCTGCCAATAAGCAGTCACAGGAGTACAGGAGGGATTCTAGACTGGCACTGGCCTGCAGCTGTCACAGGACCTGTCCATGGTGTCTGTCCTTCTACAGCATGTGGTAAACCTGTCCTAGGAACTGTATCATGTTAGGTGGTTCTTACCATTGTTAGTACCACCATCACCTTTTAAAAACCTGAGATTTTTCCATTTTAGCCAGGTCATTAAGTCATATCAAGTAATTATTTTTCTTTTGTAGAGTATATGACATGAGCATATAAAGTGTTGAAAAATTTCAGGTATTTATTTTGGGGGTATATAATACTCAGGCTGCTGGCACAATATTGATAGATAGTTTGAACACCTAAAGATCTGAGTGTCTGCAAAACAGATTCTTCTCACATTCAGACAAGTTCTCAGTACTAAAGAGGACCTCCCTACAATGTAAAAGTAAGGCTGCACTTCAGCTGAAGCATAAACTCCACCAAATTTTTTAAAGAAGCCTTATGGGTTTCCCAAAGTCGTGTGGGAAGAGGGGTGAATTAAGGTTTTCTTTTTTGGGGCATCTGAGGTGAGTGTGCTTGTGGAGAACTTTGTGACTGAAGCTTTTTTTATGATCTCAGGTGCAATTCCTCATCTGTTCATTGTGCATCAGTTAGAGGCCCCAAGTACTGAGAGTGTTCAGGAGGATGACTTCAGACTCCATGATCACTGTAGGAGTCTTATGGTCTGTTCAACTGTTGCATCTTAACAGCTTCAGAAGTAGACAGAGCTATGTTTAAGCTGTACAATCCAGTTTTAGGGGGAAGAACTGGAATTGTTCATCAGTGTAAGTGTGTATGGGTTGTCAGAAGTTAAATAGGAATGCTGGAAAAGGCTTCTCTTCACTTGTGTTACAACTGTGTTCTAGTTGCACTGGGGGAGGTTGTTAGTGAGAATACTGATGCCAGAGCAGTTCCTCTGTGCTAGACCCTTCCCTATCCATGTTGAGGGTAATATTAGTGTTTATCATCTTCTGGTCCATGCATGTGCTGAATGGTTAATGGAAATGTTTTGGTTAGAGTTTTTGTGCTCATTACATCTTGGAGGTAGATCAAATCCAGTGTTCATGTTGGCATTCTCGACATCCTTTTCACTTGATCAGCTTTTCAAAAAACTCTTCTGTTCTTTGCACTTTATACTCTGGTACATGTATTACTTCAGTGACCTCTGTCAGTGAGTATTTTTAAAGGTGATTTGATAGGCCATCCTACAAAAACAGGTTGTACTCAAGGTTAACAGAGTTAACAGTCAATTGGTTAATATCCTTTTCCCTCAAACTATTTTGAGTTCTTTTAAAAGGCTATTTCCCAGTTGTTTGCTATGGCATTTTTCACTTGAGACTGACACTGCAGATTACAGGTTGCTGCCTGCTGGTGGTTTTCAGTCAAATTAAAGGAAAGATTTCTTAAGTAGGGCAGGAGAAAATTGGTGAAAATGTGTCCAGGGAATAAGCCTTTCTAGCTTTGAGTATATGCATGAGGCAGTTTTGTTCTTCTCTCCATTCTTCCCCTTTTTCCCCCCCTTTCCATCCAGTATGCAGATCACTTTTCTGATCAGTTATTTTTAGTTCAGTAAACTTCAGTCCTCGTTCAAAATAAGCTATCCTTCAGAAACTGCTAGACCTTTAATAAAAAATCCATCTTAAGAATTCTTGCATTTAACTTTAATGTCAAAGGCTATTTCATAAATCTGATGCAAATCATTCTGAAAGTTTCTAGCTATAAGTAATATATTTTCCTGGATTTTCTTCTCAGCAACCCGATAGCAGAAGGGTCAACTCTTCTGTTGGATTTTCTGTTTTGCAGCATACAAGCAATGACCCTTATTGCTTTGTGGAATTTTATGAACACAGAGATGCAGCTGCTGCATTAGCTGCTATGAATGGGAGAAAAATTTTGGGAAAGGTAAGTTGCTCACATGGTAATCTTAGATTTAAAGAATATAGATTTGTGTGAAAATATTGATAAAATGGTTGACAATGTTTTACCAAGATTAAATATCGATAGCATATTTTAAAAGTTTTGATATAAAAAGTAAGTCTTGTTTAGGAAATTTATTATTTGTGATGTTCTGTTTATAATGGTGTTATATATTACATTTTCTATTTATGATGGTGTTTTATATTAAATGATGATTTTTAAACATTGACAATTGTAACCCACCCTTGAATGAACTTATAAAATGTAAGAATTTTGTGAATTTGTACTAAATCTTATACTTGTTTTCAGGAGGTCAAAGTAAACTGGGCAACAACACCAAGTAGCCAGAAAAAAGATACATCCAGTAAGTAATGTAATGCCACAGTATCACTTCTACACAAATACCTCACAAAGTGGTAATAATTTATCATAAATGCATTTAAACATAACTTCTCTCCTTTTCATCTAGTGTTTAATAGAATTTTGCAAGCTAATTCTTCTGTTTCTGCTTTACACCTGGGGAAACCGGAGTGGACAGATTAAATTGCTGCTGCTCTTCACATGGAATCCTGAGCGTTCCTGGTTCCCAGAGCTGTGTGCAGAGCATCACTTTCTCAGGAGTTGAAACTTTAGATAGCAGTTAAATATTTGATTAGTAAATTATTTATTTTCAGATCACTTCCATGTGTTCGTTGGGGATTTAAGTCCAGAAATAACAACAGAAGACATCAAGTCAGCATTTGCTCCTTTTGGTAAAATATCGTAAGTATCATCATAAACATTTCCATTATCAGTCAGAAAATGTGATAGTGAAAATGTGTTTCTAAGTTGAAATGCTATTTCTAATATATTGAGATAACTTTTCTGCTGTTCATTACCTTGTGGTGGGTGGGTAGTAAAGAGGGGTTGTATCTCAGTGTGTTTTACAATGTAAATACAATAATGTAATTGTGCTCTGGTTTGCTGAAAAAAATGTGCTTTTAACCTAATTTATATGCTAATGTCTTTCAACCTTTTATTAAAATTTAATTACTGCTCTAAGTGTGATTTTTTGGTATTGAGAATGTGTACAGAGTAGTGACTTGACAAGTGGTTTATGTTGTATCCTGGGTGTGTTTTATGTGCATTTTTGCTGCATTTCGTAGGCAGTGTGGAAAACTGGGCAATTGAAATATAATTCTATAAAGCAGCTAGTTAATACCTTGGGAATGTGTTGAAAAAGCTAATATTTATGAGAATGAAATCTGGTTTTTTGGATGATAATGGGATGAATTACAATTATAATATCTTAAATTAAAGAATGGTGGCTTTACAATATGTGCACATTTCTGCCAGTTAAGAGAATGTTTCTTTAAACTTCTCTTGGACAATTCAGGTGATGCTAAATCACCTGGTGTTCTAATTGAACATATTTAGCATTACAAAATCCTTGAGAGTGCTAAAGTAAATATATGTCCTAAAGAGTACTGCTACAAAAAAAGTCTGGTTTATATTTTATCAATTTATCTTTATAAAAATCAAAGTTGCACATGAATGGTTTTGTACTACTTTACAGGAATATATTTCTAAGAACAAAATTCTTATTTTTCTCTTGTTCTGTACGCATATTTTTAAATGAATCATAAATCTTATTTCTTACCTCTGCTGTTTTGTTTACTTTGCTTTTTGTCTCTTAATGTGGTAAGTAGTACTGTTTTAAAAATCAATTTAAAAAGAATAATTCAGGTTTCTGTTTCTCAATCTATATTTATACCTGAGACCTGCAGTTTTTCTAAAGTCCAAGTCACAATTAAAAGTAATAGCATTCTGGTTATTTTGCAGAATTGCTCATAAGAATGGACAGGATCTTGAAGGCTAACTGCAAGGAACTGTGCACACTGGAACTCAGTTGTAGATTTTTTCTCATTTCTATTTATTCTTATTATACATTATTTATATATACATATTTTAGTATTTACATTTTAACATTCTATATTCAGTGCAGTTCTATATTTCCAATCATTTTAACTTACTCACTAAAATTTCTGTGTAAATTTGTTGTTTTCGTACTGGTGTGCTTAGCATTGTTGTTAGTTTTATTCTCCTTTCTTAAATTTCTGAAAATGTCAATTTTTCAAAATTTACAGCTACCCAAACTCCAAAATGATGGTAGAGAATTGACCAAGAAAAATAAAGAAATCTGTTAACAGGCCATGTATGCCTTTTAATTCCTATTTTTTCCTCTTTTTCGATTTTTTTAATATTTCATATATTTTGTATCACTAGGCAGAAGACATTTAACTATTTAGAAAATGCATGGTAAATTAGATAGAATTGTTACAGTAATTTATAGAACAGTAAACCTTAGAGGACCCTAGCCATTAGAATATTAGAAAAGGAAACTTTGTTTCTCTTATACTTCAAATTTGAACATTCTAGTTATAGCCAGTATAGGTTATGTGCATAGGTTGCATGTTTATTACATGTTATTTTTTTTGTCCTACTGCTTTTTTCTAACAGGTAAAGAAGCAATAGGGAGAGTTCAGGAATGACTGTAGTTTTAGGGCTAACTGAATTTATAAGAAAAAATTATGCTCACAATACAGTGTGTGTGGTTCCTTTTAGTTTTTATTTTGCAGGTTATCAATACTACCCTCATATAGCTGTGCTTCTTTTCACAGGGATGCACGGGTAGTTAAAGATATGGCAACTGGAAAGTCAAAAGGCTATGGTTTTGTATCTTTTTATAACAAACTGGTGAGTAATCACAATGCAGGTTTAAAATACTTCCTATTTCCCACTTTTAGTTTTGCCTGTTTATGTATTTACTGTTTATTAGACTTCACCCAGGGAAGCAAATTTGCATGTACAGGAACTGTATGTGTCTTTAGGACAACATAGGGGAACTGAATCATTTTGTATAGGAAAAACTCACAGTTTCAGGATTTTAGGCATATAAAGCCTGTTTGTGTGGTCAGAAATCCTACATGTCAGATCTCTTTTGATGGTTCTGTAACAGTTATCTAGAGCTGTCATAATTAGAGAAAAAGTTTTCATTTCTTCAAATTTGCCAGTGCCATAAGATACTGCAATTTAATGCCTTAATTTAGTGTGTTTTTCCAGTTACACTTTCTTTATTCTGTGTTTCAGCTGAAAAAGCAAGGAATAGTTGTTATTTCCTTGTACCCCTCTTCCCTTATCATACAGTTGTTTGGTTCCTGTGACCAGAGGGGAACTGTAACAGTCATGGAATTAAAGTTAGTGAATTCTTTTGAGACTGAGCAATAAAAACTCCAATTTGAAATTTCTACTAATTCTACAAAATTAATGGATGAATTCTAGACACAGTACTAAAAAGTAGTCTTAAATTTCCTGTCCTGATTGCTGTTCACTCCCACAGCAGCTGCACCTGTAGAGTTATGGTGTGACTGTCCTGAGCTGGTCCTTTAAGGCCTGTTTTTTAGACTGTATCATTCTGCTATATTTGGGGAAATGGGATGTATATTAGACTTCAGGTACTCCAGCCTGAGCTCTTAATGCATAACACAGTTAAGAGAAAATGGAACTCCTGCATTGGACTGGATCAGTTATGGCTTGGGCTCTGTTCCATTTTTGTCTCAGCTGTGATCCTCAAGCAGGATAGCAGCAAGATTCATCAGAGGGTGTTTCCTTTCCTAGTCAATTCATTATGTGTTCACCATGTTTTAGGAGCCAAAGGTGCTTGAATCAATTGGGATGTTTAATTATCTGGTGGTTTGTTTTTATCATTTAGATTGGATTTTTCTTTTCTTATTGGTTATGTTTTGCAATTTCATTTTTGTATTTAAGTGTTTTCAAAATGAGTATCCAGAATTGAAACCTAGAAAGATCAAGGTCCTGAGTTTGAGAACAGAATTCTAGCTGAGAGCAGCTCACCTTTAACTTGTCCACTTGGGTTTTTTTTGTCCCTTGTGCTTGGCAGTTTTTTTCCTTAAGCTTTATGCCCTTCGAAAAGCATTTTAAACGTGCCTATTTGCCTGTCTTCTTCCAAAGCAATTGGGAGACAAATTGCTTCTTGCAGCTGTTACCAAACTTACCCTTGCTTACCAGATGCTTCTGCTTATACTGGGAACTTAAAGATTGTCTTCATTTTCATGTTCAAGATAAAAAGTGAGCCATGGATTCTCATGTGTGTTCATACAATGACTTTTAACGTGTGGAGAACTTAAAAAGCATCCGTTGCACACCTGCAGGAAGCAAAAGAAACATTTAGCATAGCTGTTTTATTTCAATTATTAGTCCTGGCATCTGTGTGACCTTTCCACTTTTTCTGGCAACTTTTGAACATTTTAATGCAGATGCTTGTATAGTATATGTGGATATGGTATAAATGTGTGTATACATGTATGTATACAGGTAGTATATGTATGACTGCATCTGGCTTTTATCCTGTGTAGAAGATGGGTGGGAGGAAGTCTTTACCAAATTACTTCTGAGGGCCTTCTCCATAACCAGTTGCCTTCATGTTAATTAATGTTTGTCTGCTTGCTATGACTGTTCAGAATTTCATACTCTTCTTAGTACTGTTACTGATTTTGTCAGTGGAATTAACTGATAACCAAATCTTGGGAGTAGATTTGTACGTGGTTTCTGTGGAAGTGCTACAATCTCTGTTTTAATCTCTTCAGGATGCAGAAAATGCTATTGTACACATGGGAGGCCAGTGGTTGGGAGGCCGCCAGATCAGAACTAACTGGGCAACAAGGAAACCACCAGCCCCTAAAAGTACACAAGAAAGTAAGAGCTTCATGTCATGCTGTGTTGTGTTTGTTGTCTTTCCACTGTTCAGTGGGGGAATAAAACATTAGCCAAAATCATGTCACTTAAATCACAGCTTGCCTTCCAGATCTTGATTAGATTTTTTTTTGGTATGTTGTATCAACATAGTCATAAAATTTTAATGTTTGTTAATAATGTGTTTGTTAAATGTGAAATTCATGCTTGTGTGTGAGGTAAGTGTCTAGGTTACTGTCAGCCCACTGCTGAAAACCCGCCTTCTCTCTTTATAGATAATACAAAACAGTTGAGATTTGAAGATGTAGTAAATCAGTCAAGTCCTAAAAATTGTACTGTGTACTGTGGAGGAATTGCCTCAGGGCTAACAGGTATGAAGTGTTCTCTTATTTTTTATAATTGAAACTTTTTGGATGATTGCTAATTCCAAAACATCTTATGTTGTAGATCAGCTTATGAGACAGACTTTTTCACCGTTCGGACAGATTATGGAAATAAGGGTGTTTCCAGAAAAAGGTTACTCATTTGTCAGGTATGGACAGAGAAAGCAAAATCTCTGGGTCTGTGTATGTACTAATACTTCATTTCCCTGTAATGTCACTTGATTGAACTTGTTCTGATACAATAAAAGCTGTCACCATATACTCGTAGAATAATTTGGAACTTGTAAAAAGGGCCACCAACATTTTTACCTGAGAAGATGAATGTTTGTGAAAGCAGATGTTTTTCTCTGGATTTTCTGTATGTATGGAGTCCTTGTTTTTTAAGTAATCAGGTGGAAGTACTGTAAAACATAACATTAGTTTGTTTTTACATTTTTTAGGTTTTCAACCCATGAAAGTGCAGCACATGCTATTGTTTCAGTTAATGGAACCACAATTGAAGGACATGTTGTTAAATGTTATTGGGGTAAAGAATCCCCTGATATGACTAAGAACTTCCAACAGGTAACTACACTTAACCTTTTCTTTGTATTACAAAAGCAATTGTGTTTATACCTGTAATGACTTCCCAGTTATAATGGCTAAATTTTGTGGTGGAGTTCTTATGAAATTCCATGTTCTGTCTCAGTTATGTTCCAGTTCATCAAATTGGGCTAGTGATTTTGATGGAATATCTGTTACTGTCTTCTGGATATGATCCAAGATAGGGAGAAACTTTGAGGTAATTTTAATTCTTGCTGTTTTGCTAACTGCAGATTAGGTGGCTGTCCAACCAAATAGTCTTTGGGGTTTCAAGCACACAAATATATTTTTCAGTACAAGGATCTAATTAAGTCATAGTGACATCTTATTTTTCAGATCTCATTATTGCTTGTTTTAGCTCTCTGATTGATATAGCCAAAACTTTGCCTTCGGCAGCACAAATGCAATATAAACCATCTCTAGAATCTGAAGTACAATGGATTATTCTTTCTGCAGGTGGATTACAGTCAATGGGGGCAATGGAGCCAAGTATATGGAAACCCACAACAGTATGGGCAATATATGGCTAATGGGTGGCAGGTACCATCGTATGGAATGTATGGCCAAGCATGGAATCAACAGGGTTTTGGAGTAGAGTGAGTAATTATATTTAATTTTTTTTAGCATATTCCAAGAATGCTGTAGCTTAAGTTTCAGGCTTATTTGGGTTAAGGATTGCACAAGGTTTCAAACTTTAGAGGGGCTTCTGTGTGCTTAAAGTTTATGTTCAGTGATTGCCGTGAGCAGATGCTGGGGTGAGTCGCTCAGACTTGTACCTGATGGCACATTTTGTGTGTGATATAGGTACAAAGACCACCCAGTGTGGAAAGGTTTTGGGTGGTGGTCTTGTCTGGTATCTAAATCTGTTCTGGGTTCTGACTTAAGGTGGTGAGTCTGAGCCAGGAGCCTTGGGTATTTGCCTACAGGGAGAGAAGGAACTACACACAGACACTTTAACTTGTGCAGTTTCAGAATTTGGGTGGGCTTTTAATAATGGATCTCTTGAAGGCTGAAGTCTTCAAAAGAACTCTTTGTTTTAACATAATTTTGAAATAACTTGTTTGCCTAGTTCTTCATTATCTGGTGCCAGTTAAACATATTAAGCCCTGATAGACCTATCACTGGTGTTCATGGCCATGAGGTATTGGGTATTTCTTGCATTTCTGCATCACTGATGTTGAGTTCCAGCCACCTGTGTGTGTTCATGCCTTGGGAGGCAGATGCCATATCCAACTGGTACCCAAGGTTTGTGGGGTTTTTTATCTTTTGTTCTTAAAAAGCTCATCATATTTTCAGGAATCACATGTTGCAGAGCTTAACCTGAATTACTCATTAAAAAGAAGAAGAAATTGTTCTACTTTGATACAAGTAGTTGTGTAGGAAGTATGTTTTTATATATATTTTTGAAGTTGCTTTTCCCCACTTTTTTTACCTATCCTGTTTCTTTTTAAGCCAATCTCCATCTGCTGCCTGGATGGGTGGATTTGGTGCTCAGCCTGCCCAGGGACAAGGTGCTCCTGTAATACCTAACCAAGCTGGATATGGTATGGCAAGCTACCAAACGCAGTGAGCTGGGACTCTGTTCAAAAGTGTGTATTTCATGATAGGCTGCAGTTTCCAGTGACATTCTGAAGACTGGAATGTAGACAATGAAAAAAAAAGAAAATATTTATTTTAAAAATGGAAATGTTTGGAACCTTTAGCACAGCTTTGCTTTGGTGAAGGACACAAATGTCTTCTAGTTCTGCCTTTTTAAGTTTTTGTTCATGATGGATATGAACATGTTTTTCTTTGTGTACAAAAATGAAAAATAAAGTCAATAAAGACAATTCTGACTACAAATTTTGATATAGTAGGAGAAATGGCTAATGAATTTGATCTTGAAGTTACCATTCCTTTTTTTTTTGTTTTGTCTTCAGTGTTTTATATCGTTGTGCTTTCAAAAGAAATGACGTTGAAAAACAGGGAGTTGCTTTTAGTTGAACACACATCCTGAAACAAACTGTGGACCAATCACTACAACCTGCGAGACAGTATTGAGTTTTCAAGAAACCTATGGACATAGCTCAAAGTATATGTAGGTCTTGGAATAATTTTTTTAAAAAAATATTTAATTTTTCTACATGCTTACAGAAAACAGTTGATACAATGAATAGTTCAGTCTGAAATGAAAAACAGTACTGTCTGAGAAATTTCACATAACTTTTACTGTCCACATTCAGGCACACGTTGGAACTTTTCAGACCTGGTTTGCTTGTTAAAACTCTTGTAGTTTACATTTAATTTTGAGAAGTAAAAGTGTTTTTACAAGTATGTTGTTTGTATTCAAATCAGACAGTCATACTTGAGCTTTTACATAAAGTTTGAAGGCTACACATTGTAAATATTTCATAATTACAGTGTTTCAAAAGCATGCTCAAACATAGAAGTAGCAATGTAATTATTCAAAGTAATACTTAATATACCCTACTGCTTTAAATGCAGTAGATTGACAAGAATGTGCAAGACTGACATTTCCAAAGTTGGCTATTATGTAAAGTTACATAAAGAACTATAACAAAGAGCCTTAATTTTAATTTCATAAATCTTTAATGCATCACCTTTTTGTCATTAGAAATACAAATTTTTTGCTTTACATTATTTGGTATGTAAATACCTTGGTTAACAACCTTGTAAACCTATTTCAAGGTTATTATAAGTTGTATAGTATCTTGAGTGTTTTGAAAAATCTTGATGTTTTTTAAGTCTAGAAATATTTTGCCCAAGAATTTTTTAACAAGATTGTTAAAAACATCTTATTTTAGAGAATATTCAATGTGCCATTTGGTAAATGGAGATGCAGTTGAAACAGTACACTGAGTTGTGACTTATTTTTAATTAAAGTTTTTGTCTTTATGGGTGGTTTGCATGTGATGAACTTGTACAGAGGCTGGGTTGTTTGTGTACTGAGTGTGTAAATGGATAAACCATGAAGATGTTTAAATGGTATACTTGGGTTATTTCTGAATTATTTTATGGATACATTGATATAAACTGCCTCAATAAATCTGAAGTTGAAAATGAATGTAAGTTAGATATAAGTAATGTGTCCTCCCTGTGACAGCTAGAGGGTGCAAATGCCTCAGCTGTCATCTGGAATGCTGAGGCAGGCAGGGTTGGAAGGGAAAGAGTAGGATTTGCAGTGGTAGCTCAGTGAAGCAAACTTGTATTTTAAAAGAAACAGAGAATTTGGTTTTTAGAGATGGTAGTTCTAAGTGAGTGTCTGAGAAGCTGTGTATTTTCTCTTTTCTGTTTCTGACCATGCAGGTGTTGCGAGGTGGAGTAGTCTGTTTTGAAATGGCGATTTGCAGTTGTGTTAAACCCAGCCAGGTTGTGCAAATAACTACACTTATTGCTGTAGCAAAATCACATGAGGGTTTTCTTTCCCCCTCTTTTTATTGATGTGTGAAGTAGTACCTTGACTTTTAGATCAGGTTGAGAGTGAGATGTACTGGAAGAGCAGTTTAGTCAGTTGGCTCATCTGCACCAGAGGTACTTGTGACTCTGGGCATCTAATGCATGCAATAATGGCTGAAGTTAGTGTGGAACCACGAGTGCTCGTGCTGGCAGAATTGGCCCTTTATCTCCTTTTCTCCTTTATGGTATATGTTGTGTCTTTCCACTCAAGATAGGAATCTTGCCTACAGGACTCTTGTTTTTCTATACATTTTGTACATATGTGTATATCTACGCGAGGATCGGCCTATACATTGTAGTTTGGAAAAAACCTCACGAGTAAGTCTATGTTTTTCTTACACTCAGCTGGTTTTAATAAGTCACGAGTCAGTAGAGATACGAAATGTGAGTTCCTTTAGGATTTCTTAGGCTTCACTTGAAATCTGGGTTTTCTACATCCTTCTAGGTGTTTGCCATATGGCTGTTCTGGGTGCATGCTGGAGTGGAGGCAGTTTGTTCTTTAGGCGCTACTGAAGATTTAGATGATGCAAGTACATTGCCAGATAAATGCCCATATAAATGGGTGTGAGATTAAGGCAGTGATCTTTCAGGTCTCAATGTGTAGATCACTTTAAATCTGATTATTTAATATGCCTGCTGTAGAGCTGGGCCATACCTGACCTGTATTTCAGGGTGAAAGATAGGATATACCTTCTGATTTAAGTCTTTTGTCATTGATTTTTATACAGCTTTTCTGTAATGGTGATAATTTCTTCGCAGACTGCTCAAGGTGTGGGGGTCTCCAGTGTCCTTTAATGTTTCTCTAGCACTGCGAGGAGGAGTTGTAAATTAGATTGCTTTTTACTCAGTAGCATTCATAAATGCATCACTGACAATTTTTTGGCACCAAAGAGCCTCTTGCACCATACTGCTTTTATGAGTGACACTTACACTGTTGTAATTTCTCTAACTACAGAAATCGACCACTACCTAACCCTTACCACCAGGATTTGGATTTCAGAAACACTGATATATTATGGCTTAAGTTGATGCGTGCAACCTAAACCAAGGTTGTAATCTGCATTTGCAGAAAATGTTCAATAAAAGTGGAACGTGATAAAGGGCTTATCCTGTATTTGTCATCTGTCAAAGCATTGTCCCTCTTTGCTGTAAAACTGACAACAGGCAGACAAGGCTGAACTTGTAAACTATGCACTTGCAATCATGTAAAAGATGTTTTATTTAAAAAATTTTCCTACAAAACCATTTTGTATTTTGCAGAGTTGCAGTAGTAAGGCTGTAAATCTAAGGTCACGTGTAGCTTCTCATCAATCCTGCCTCCTTGTGTATATTTGCTAACACTTTTTAGACATACCTGCAGAACCTTCTTCTTACTGAGATAATTTCGTGAGAAGCAATTCACTGTACCAGAACCATTGCCTTCATTTCACTCAAAAAAGTCTCACAGTGAATAAGGCTTAGTTTTGCAGAAAAAATAGTGATTTGTTTTTCTTGTGTTTGTACACAAGGAAGCAGACTTAAACTGTATGGACATGATTAGTGTCTGATACTTCTTAATTATCTGACTGTTTTTGAACAAGGGCACAAGTGTTTGTTTTAATCACGTGAAACTGTTTCCTGGTCAGCAATAAAAGATTTTGTTGCACTGTTCTTACATTGCAAGATACAGGCAATCTTTTGTTCAATATACTTCCAAAAAATTGATGGGGTTTTGAAGAACTGCCTTGTTCCAACTTGAATTTTCATATATAGATATAATCTGGGATCTGGATTGTGGCTGTAAGAGCAAAAGAAAGTTCTCTTGAAAGTTGAGTTAGAATTCATTTTTTCTGATCATGTGTGGTGCCTGTCCCACATTGATAAATTCAAGGGTTTCACTATGTAATGAAGTTTCTGTTCATAAAAAGGCAAATGCAAGGCAGTAGCTTCTGGGAAGGTGTTTATCGGGTTTCATTTCAGTTGACTTCTATGAATCCAGTTGATTATTTTAAAAGAACCCTTAAAAGTTGTTGTGCTTTTTCAGTATCACATGGATAAAATCCCATCCTGCTGTACCGTAATTTCAAATCAAAGGAAATGCTGAAGTGTTTACTGAATGTTTTACTTGAAAAAGAAACAGGACTTCATGTTGACAAGTGAACACTGATTGTGTTGTCCTTCTGAGGCTGTGTGCTGATGTAGATCATGGATGTGTGAATGACATGCTCTGCTCACTGACATTTCAAGGGTAATGACTCAGAACGTTAATTTGACATCAGTAATGATTATTTGAATACAAGTTATTCTTGCTTAAATACACAGCTCCCTATGCTTTGATTAAAGCTGATCTGAATCTTACTGGTTATTAAAGTATTCTTGATATGCTGTGGAAAGAAACATGGCTTTGCCTTCTATCTTAATGTTGAAGCTGTCAATAAGACATCAGATTTGCACAGACTGTTTTTTGTTTAGAAGAAAAACACTTAATGGAGGTGTTAGGGAATTCAGTGTAAACTGACTTTTCTGTACTGATGGGTGATGGTGTCTGAATGTTTCCCTTCTAAAACAGGGGCTCAGTTACCATTCCTTGCATGAACGTGGCTCTCAGATCCCAGATTCTCAGCAGCTGTGCTTCCCAGCTGCTGGTGTGGAAGGGAGGAGGAGGAAAGGGAAAGATGATGAGAATTTGTGGGACAGCCCAGTGTGTCTGGGACAGCAGTGCCAAGGCAGACTGTCAAACACAAAATTTAAGATCACAACAGGTTTACACAGGCACTGCAGCAGTACCCCAAGGGTTGTGAGCATTCAGACACAAACTTGCTTTATCAGCTTGCTTAAAATAATGTGGCTTTAAAATTACAAAAGTAGAAACAACATATAGCCTCTTTGGTTCCTCAGAAATAGGTGCATATTGAGCAGCCAGCTTAGAACACTGAAGGTGACTAAACAAAACAAAGGAGGAAATTGTGTTAAGTGTCTGAATTTGTAGACTTTTTCTTAAGGTAGGCCTCTTAGCTTGGTATTCTGTTACATGTCTATATTGACCTTTTTGTTTGTATAATTGAAGTAGTTTCAGATCTGCACAGCTGCTTGTTGAACATCTTCCCATGCTTGACAACTTCTGGAACAGGGATGAATAAGAACTGAATAAGAATTTTAAGTCTACCACATGAAACACTGGATAATGCTCACATTTCCTGGATGGAAATTGACTTACTAGAGCCAACTCTGTAAAAGTGTAAATATCACAGGGGATGATGAAAAGCTGTTCTCCTCCATTTGAGTAGCTAGTTCTTTGACCTTAATAAATGGGCAATTATTACTGGGCTGCTGTTCCATGAAAAATGCTCTTCATGGGTTTTTGTTCCTTTCAATGGGGCAGATCTTTTACACTCCACAAATGATTTGTTTCCTTTCATGCTGGGTTGTCAAGCGTGATGGGAAAGACTGATTGATAATATTTATTGCTGATTCTAAATCTTCCGACTCAGGTACTGACTGGGGAAAAAATTACCCTCTTAGTTATTAACAGGACTATTTCATTTAATAGGACTACTTAAATTTGCAATATACCTTTGTAGAACCATTTCTGTTTGAGTTTTACTTGCACCAGAAAGCACAAGGAGTCTACACAAATGCACCTTGGACTCGACTGCTTCAAGCTGCTGTTCCATCCTACAGCTGCTGCACCGGATCTTGTACAGTCAAAGGCTGGAAATATTTATGCCTTGCTCCTTTCTTTGATAAATTGCAAATCTTGTGTTCTGTACAGAATAAATTTCTTCTGAATATTTGCAAATACTCAGAAAGCTGAGGTGCAGTGTTTTCTGAACTCTTGCTATCTTGGTGTGAATTGGGGCTTCTTTCATTTACAGGTACATGCTGTGGTTTTGTAGGAGGAATTTGTGTTTGTGACATTAGCTAGAAACGTGGCTCTTTTCAGACTAAGAAAAATAAAACGTGAATGTTTCTAGTATACTATTCCTAAGTGAATCTTGCCTCCTACTTGGATTTATGTATTCTATGGAACAAGGGTATGAAGGTCCAAAAACATGTCTCACATCATTTATAATGGATATTTTCATAAGGGAGCAAATCTGTATAAACTTGAAGTATGCATATAACAAGATCTTGTTCCAGAAGTGTAACAGCTGTTCACATGTATTGCTGATACATTTTGAAATGGTCAAAACCTGAGGTTAGAGGACCAACAGCTATTGCTGAATGTGTGCTGCATTTTGAAGACTTAAGGCCAATACATGGGGTGATGCTGTGTTCACATTGACTTCTGAAAGAGTTCCTTCCAGCACCTTTTTGTTCTGTGGGTTTTTGTGGAAGAACACAGGAACTGTCCTACAAGATGTGTGCATAGAAATTTGCTGAGGTATGTGACATTTTACTTTGAATTCATGTTCCAAGGTCACAGTGTCTATTGCCGAGTGTCTGACAAGCTGCATGACTTAGAACTTGATGTTTCCTTGAAATGCTTCTACAGCTAAACCTTACTGAAAACTATTTTTGGAGTCTCTCCTGTCAGTGACTTCTGAGTAAAAGGAAGACAAGATGCAAGATACTTGTTAGAGGGATCCAGGTAGGTCTGAGTTTACTGAGGCTGTAGAAGCAGACATTCCTTTGTAGTTATTTTCACTTTTGAAAATGCCTATGGATGCTTGAATTGTGAGTTCTGAGTCAGTTACTGTCAGGGCCATGCTTCACTCATTTTCTACACCCTGTTTTGCTGTGTTTCTCACTTTAATTGTGTTTCTAGTCAACAGAGCTGTACTTGCTTTTCATGCACCAGGAGACAAGTCTATTGTATTTGCATCTGGTTCTTAGCAGAAACACTGATCTCAGGTATCATTTTTAATATTCCCCTGTA